GCCGGCGAAGCGTCCCGCCTGGCGCACTACAACAAGCGCTCGACCATCACGTCGCGGGAGATCCAGACGGCCGTGCGCCTGCTGCTGCCCGGGGAGCTGGCCAAGCACGCCGTGTCCGAGGGCACCAAGGCGGTCACCAAGTACACCAGCTCCAAGTGAGTCCCCGCCGGGGACGCGCTGGCTTCCAAAGGCTCTTTTCAGAGCCATCCCACCTTTCAGTGAAAGAAGCTGTCTTAATTTCGAGTTTGCCTTTTTGACTTACATTGTAGTCAAGAAAATCCATCCTGTTGAGCACTTACCCACCTGTCAAGCAGTTGGTTAATGTTGGAGAAATCATAATGTGGGTTTTCTCAGCCAGTTGGGAAATATTGCGGTAAATGCTCTTAAAATTTCTTTTGCCTTGGCCTTGTTGTATCTGTTCCTACCTAGTGAAATGCTATTTGACAAGCTTGCCTACGCAGGATAGAAAAGTCTAAACAAAGGCACAACCATGTTAAAAACGTGAGATTTTTTTTTAAAAAAATTTTTAAAAATGATTCTGAGGTGTTTATGATATAGGACCGCTCTGTTTATCGTATAAAACCAAAATCATATGGTGATAGTGTTTTCCCCCACTACCACTTTAAAAAGCTTTTTAGATTTAAGGGTTAATTGTATACAACAGCAACAAAATATGCTGGATTTCACAATTGATTTTGGGGAGGTCAAATATTTCACAACAGAGGTTGATTGGTTTGAGAGTATTTGTGCTTTGAGAACCCTTGGACTGTTTTAGGCGGGGAATGAAGTAACAGAACTTAACCTTAAAAAAGAAAGAAACTGGGGATTATTGGCTGACCATAGTAGAAGAACTTGATGCTGTGTTTGGGGCTAGAGCTGTGGAAGTTTTTCTTTGAAGAGGCAGCAGTAGGAGCTGGGGCTATGGCAAACCTATTGCCTAGTGCATTGGAGACCTTGAGTTCCGCCCTCAGCACTGCATAGAAATAAATAAATAAAACAACATGCTGTCCATCTACAACTACAAAAAAAAAAAAAGGCATCAGTACAATAGAGTAAGGATTTGAAAGCAAGAATGATTATAGACAATGTGCTTTGGAGGGCACAACATGGGGGAATCAGAGAACTGAGTTACTCATAGAACTCGGACAACCTTAGAGACCTGCTATAACTTCAGACTTCCAATTAAGCCAGCTTGTTTGACATTCTCTTACTTAGCTTGAATCTTGAAACATTTTGGGAATAACAATAATTTCCCAGAATATTAAAAATGATGCTAGAACCTTTACGTTGAAAAGTCTCATAGAAGTCAAATATGGGAGATGAGGAAAAACAGCTATATAGGTTTGTTTCATTTTTCTTTTCTCTCTCTCTCTCTCTCTCTCTCTCCCCCTTCTCTCTCTCTCTCTTTCTCAATTGGTAAAGACTTATGGTGATGTAGCTCAGTGGCAGAGCATATGTGTAGCATGCATGAGTGCATGAGTTCAATCCCCAACACTGTAAATAAAAAAAAGAAAAAGAAAAAAACATGCTGTGGTTACAACTCAGTGGTAGAGGGCTCAACTTGAATTGTACGATGCCCAGGATTTGATCCTCAGCATTGAAAAACAAACAAGAAATTCACATATGGATTATATATTAGTTAATATTATTGAATCAATACTAAATTTGTTTGGTGCAATGACGATAATGTGGATGATAATGTAGGGTATACATGATAATGTAGGAGAATGTTCCTTTCAAGAAAGACATGCCACACAGTATTTAGAAGAAGTGTCAACAATTTCCAGGTTATTTTCAAATGGTTCAGGGTTTGTGTGTGTATGGGCCCATAGGATACTTGATATTTCCATTTGGAAACCTAGCAGGAGTCTAAAAATTTATTTCAAAATAATACTTTTGGTTTTTCTTCTCCAAATCTGTTCTTTAGTCATATCAGTAAAGAGCAATTGGTAACCCCAAACCTGCAATAAATCCTTGATTCCTTGTTTTCTGTTATAACCTACAGTCAGTCAGTTTCACTGTTTCAAGACATATTTTAAAGGAAAGTATGTCATTTGTTGGTAAACGAAGAACTTCGTGCTAATGTGAAATATGCCATTCAGAAAGCCAAGAGTCAAATGTATTCTCTCATATGTAGAAGCTAGGGAGAGAGGAGAAAAAATAATGGATCTCATGAAAATAAAAGTGAAACTGGAAGGGTGTTGTCCCGGGCCATCCATGGGTTGCATATGGGTCACCATGCATGGAAGCATTGTGGATAGAGACATCCGGTATCTGGGAATGACCAGTGAACATTTTCTCTGGTCAAGTGCCCAGGGATAATGTGAATCGCTATTGGGTTCTGTGGCCCACACAGCACCTGAGATGGATGTGACCTGCTAAAATGTCAGTCAACCAGCTGACTGTAAGATATCAGGAAGCAAGATTCCACCCTTGAAACTTTATCCCTGCCTTTGATTTATCCTGTTAAATAAACCATTGGAGCCATTTTGTCTTTCCTAGTTCCAGAACCCACGTGGACTAGATCTGTCAGGGGGGTCACTTTCTGTAAATATATTTCTGAGTATTTGTGCTTTGTTATTTACTAATTATTTGAGATTATAAATTTAGGGTGGCTTGGATTATCCTGGGCAGGAAGAAGTACCCCTTAATGAGATGCTGGTCATCATCCCTCCACCCACCCCACATAGAGTATTATGGTTTTGATACTGAAGCCAGATTTACAGATAGGTAGTTAGTGTAGTTAGGTAAATCGGATCTAATATTGACTAAGATAAAGAAAATGAAGACCATTATTGAGAATGGAGTCCAGGAAACCAGAACTGCACCTGGGGAAATTGAAATGTTAATGTCCCCAAGGCCCAGAACCCATCCTAAGGAGCTGTTAATGAAGTAGTTCCCAACAAACAGGGAGGGTGCTAATCAAAACCCCAGGCCCTTCCTGCCCAGATTACTCCTCCAGTTCACCTACCTCCCACCATCTGACCTTCCCACCTGCATTCTGTCACTGCAGGATAGAGGGAAACAAAGGACAGGAATGTGGGAGGACTAAAAGACCTTAGCTATAAAAAAGGGAAGACCTCCCCCTTCCATGGATTCCCCCTTTTGGGTCCCCTTCTTCCTCTGGGAGGAAGCCCTTTCTGCTGTCCTTTAATAAAGCCTTCCACTCTCCACTCTCCACTTGCCTCAGCGTGCTTCTCTGGTGTTAAACCTCAGCATTTGGGGAAGCAAGGACTCATCACCAGTAAACAGTGGTAACAGATTGGAGGTTCCACCGAGATCTACACCGAGAGAAACTTCTCTCCATGCACCCCACATATGTCTGAGGTGCATCTTTCTCTCTTCTGGAGGGTGATGTGGGCACCCGATGGCTATTTAAATGCATCTAGTGCGGCCGCCAGCCACTCTTCAAGACTCAGGTGAGAGGTTTCCCGGCCTAGGCAGCTCCCAATCACCTGTTCAATGCAGAGCAGGCATGTTGGGTTCTGCCAAAGCCGCTTCCCACTTTTCTGTCTGAGCCCAGAGAGCAATTGGCGTGAGTAATACAGTGTCCCTAATAACAGTAATACAGTAACCTGTCTTGGATGAGCGGAGGTGAAGGAAGGAGTTTGGGACAACTGTAGAATTCTGGTCTGGGCTACACTCATGTTCCCAAGGTTCCTTTCTCTTGAGCCCCCTCCCGACAGCCCTCAGGGGTATCTAGAGTGATGGGTAGATGAATGGCACTGAGGGAAAGCCCCAAGTTCATTTGCCTCCGTGTGGGCTACACAATACTCCCAACCCCGCATCCATTCCTTCTTGGATGCTCCCATTCCTTTGCTGGTCAGAAACACTGGAAATTCAGGTTGTAGGACTGAGAGAAAGACATGGGATTATTAGTAACAAGGTGCCCAGGTTCCTTCATGTGAATAGGCAACTTTCACTAGTCTATTTTAAAATTTACCCATTACCATTCCGATACTTAAAATGTGCTGTGTTCTCTTTAAGCTGCCAGAGGGAGGCATTTTAAAATCAACCTTTCTAAGAGTCCCTCCAATAGAAAGTGCTATATGCCTTACAACCAGTAGATATTCCTCACCCTCAGGAGATTCCTTTAGTCTACGGGGCAAAAAGGCAACAAGAAGAGTGTGTGATTCTCTTTTGTTGTGGGTTTTATAGTGGCAGGAAGGAAAGCAGTAATGCCCTTAAGTCTGAATCCTCCCAGGGTCTGGCACAGGGCAAACTGGGACCCTAGCACTTTGCCAAAGGGGACCAGAAACACTTAGCAAAGCAAGATGAGAGACGGTGTTTTCTGGATCCTAAAGAAGCTCAAACTTAGGGAGATGTCCCTAATAAGAACATTTTTTTTTTTCTGGCGTGACACCTGAGTCCTGTTTTTTCTCTTCTCACCCAGAAGGGAGCTTCTCTTTCCAGGGTGCTCGGTGCACCACTTACCTGCATATTGAAAAATTGGGATAAGTTTGACCCACAGACGCTCAAAAAGTGCCTCATTTTCTTCTGCTGCCAGGTCTGGCTTCAATACAAACTCCCTGATGGAGAAAGCTGGCCACCAAAGGGAAATATGAATTTTAATATAATTTTGCAGCTCAATAAATTTTGCAAAAGGGAAGGGAAATGGTGTGAGGTGCCATATGTCCAGGTTTTCTTTGCCCTAAGGGAAAACCCCAAATTATGCCAACAATGTAAAGTAGATTTAGTTATGTTATCTGCCATGGGGGAGAAAATCTTAAGGAATCACCTACTGAGGAGAAAGAATCAAGAGGACCCACAAAATCTCCATCCCCTGTTGATGTGCAACAGTGGACCTCCAGTCACCCATATCCTGGCCTCTCTCCATCTGCCCCAATAGATGAAACATATTACCCCTCAAAGAGATGACAGGAGGAGAATTTGGACCAATCAAAGTACATATCCCCTTCTCCCTTCAAGACCTAAGACAGATAAAAACAGACTTAGGGAAATTTTCAGAGGATCTGGATAAATATATTGAGGTATTTCAAAACTTATGCCAGGAAAGATATTATGGAAAGATATTATGCTATTACTCAACCAGACTTTGACCTCCAATGAGAAGGAAGCAGCCCTAAGAGCAGCTGAACAGTTTAGGGATGACTTAAACCTTGCTCATGCCCAAGCAGCACAGACCAGGAACAAACCCAATTAACCATCTTGGCCACAGGCAGTTCTCAGAAATGATCCTGAGTGGGACCCAAATGATGAACAGGATGTTTGGAAAATTAGACATTTCCAAATGTTGGTCCTCGAGGCCCTCAGGAGAATCAAGCAAAAGCCCATTAACTATTCTAAGGTTTCAGAAATTATTCAAGGCCCCCAGGAAAGCCCTGCTCTTTTCATGAAGAAACTCAGGGAGGCAATGAGAAAACACACCACTGTGGATTCTGAACCCATAGAGGGCCACCTACTTTTAAAGGACAAATTTAGGGGCTGGGGATGTGGCTCAAGCGGTAGCGTGCTCACCTGGCATGTGTGCGGCCCGGGTTCGATCCTCAGCACCACATATACATAAAGATGTTTATAATAGTGTTTATTATTTTTAAAATAAACATTAAAAATTCTCTCTCTATTTCTTAAAAAAAAAAAAGGACAAATTTTTACTCAGCCAGCCCCAGACATTTGGAGGAAATTACAAAAATTGGCATATGGCCCTGATCAGTCTTTAGATGACATCCTCTCAACCGCGCAACCAGCACGCTAGCTTCATTCTAGAGGTTCGAAGCATAGAAGTTAACTAGTGAGATCAAAGTAAACACACATAAACTCAAATTACCTTTTTCTTTGACCAGGTCTGAGACGGCTCTCCCCTTACCCGGTGGGGCAACGAGGTTTACACAAGACTCACAGGAGAGAGGGAGAGGGAGAGGGAGAGGGAGAGGGAGAGGGAGAGGGAGAGAGAGAGAGAGAGAGAGAGAGAGAGAGAGAGAGAGAGAGAGACCACGCCAGAGGATGGCCTTTTATTGGGGAACAAGAAATTCAGGGGAAAATTCCATCCAATGAAGGTTGAGGAGGACAGCATTCCAAGGTCAGGGTCAGTGATGGGTCTCAGGGTCAATGGTCAGTCACACCCCCACACAGATGGGCTCTTGCACCTAGAAAGGGTGGGGATTAGTTCTGACACAGTTTAGCCTCACACCCAGTCAGGGAGGTGCCCAATCACGTGCGAGAATGGCTTCCCACAATCCTCTGAGTTGCGACTTCCATTTTTTTATAATAGAGATCAACAGGAAAAGAAGGAGAAAGAGCGCAGAGACAGAAAAAGGACTAAAGCACTGGTATTTGCTCTTAGAGGAATAGGTTCCCAGGATGAAAAAGGAGGAAGACGAAATGCTCCTCAATCCACAAAAAGGGACATTGCAGAGAGGAAGGACATTTCAAACAGGATTGCCCACAAGCCAA